CTACTTACCTGAATAACTAGAATAACAGTCTGAATAGCATTCTTTGAACAGCCTTCTTTGGCAATATTTGTAGCAGTAAATGTAAGATTATTTTTTTGCTGAATTCCAGTAGCAGATGATTGTATACGGAATGGAGTAAGCACTTTTAAATAAGCATGTGTTGAATCAGGAGTAGTTAAATTCATATTCAAAAATATTAACGATGGATTAAACTTGTATCTACAGTCACGATTGGCTTTTGTTTTGTCATCATCATTAACCTGAAAAATATATACTTGATATCATATTTTATTTAACAAATCAGTTCTTCTCTCAAACATATTCCCCTCCTCTCCACAATCAATTAAAACAAATACATTAACTTAACAAACAGGAGTACATAAGCCATAGATCTTAAAATATTACACACATACTAAAAACATGCTCTGTCACACTACTACATTTCCATGTATAGTGAGCCATGAAATCTTGGTCAAACCCTTATTGGAGTATTTTCAAAATTCACATCATAATGAACAAGTGTAGTAAGTTGATTACAACTTAACCTCATGGTAAAATACTTTTACCAAAACTTTAACCTGATACAGGATAGACCAGCAGATGGATAGATGGATTACTGGATGAAGGAACAGACGCATAGACCTTACAAAATAATGCTTCCCTCTGTTGTAGATTAACCTTCTCCCTCTTATCCCATATTTTAAGTTCCTCCATTTTTAAAATGTACATCAAGTAAGCTGATAAAGGTAATGTCCCTTAAACACAGCCAATCATCTTCTGAGATCATCGGCAACCACACATTGATTAAATCTTTTTAAACAATGGGTCCAGAAAGACTTAAATTGCCAAAGATTTAGAGAAATATATATAGATGGGGCATACAAATAGATGCTGGTTATATGTCAATGAGATAGCAACCCAATGACAGAAATTATCATAAGACATCTAGATTGAACATATAGTATTCGACAATAGGCAGCTGTCTATACATAAACAATATGTCAAGCACTAAATCTCCTTCAGTCAAAATCTGCAGTCAACACAAATTCTTCAATTTCCTGACAATATAAGTTCAAGCTAGATAAAGCTTGGTAAAAATTATCAAGAAACTGATCTGTGCATTTGCAAGTGTTAAGACTCATGCACTTTGGTTCAAACTCCCTCACTCTAAGTTGACCTTGGATGAATTTGGCTATTTTGTTTAGGTCCTTTTTGGTCATAAAGCTCCTAATGTTTCTATGTATTTACAAGTAACACATCCCTGGCTTTCAAACCTTTAGGTCTGATCATTCCCGGTGAAGGTAAATCCAGAAAAGCACTTGGGACACACAAAATTTATAAAGTGTTTATTTCATTAAGAAAATGTGTTGTTTGTAGTAGAGGATTATATAGATTATTAAAGCAGGTAGAAGTAAAGTGATTTCTCTCTGGTCTTATCTCTGAGGAAACATGTGGTATTTTTATAAAATATCATTTGTGTTGCTGTCATAGTTCACTTGGATAAAGCTTCATCCAAATTATCAGTTTCTATGAATGACAGAAGAGAAAACTCTGATAGAAGCACAGATTTGCACATGAAAACCAAGGACAGAGGAAGACAAGTATATACCCATAGTTGTAACAGGGATACAACTATAAGGATTGTAATACACCTTTTTATGCATTGTACATCAACAGTTAAATATATTCTAGAATTCATTATAATTTAAAAACATATCAATGTATTTGCAATCCATCATCAATTTGCAATCCACTAATCAATTATCAATCCAATACTCCCTTAGTTATCAGTCTATTAAACATGATTGGATTTTCTATATCAAATGCATTAATGGGTCGAGTGAGCTAAATATAAATTCTGCTATAGTAAGTATATAAGAAAGTTTCTAATTGATAATATATTCCAGGGGCCTGTTATCCAATGATAAGGCCAGAGGATTCAACCTTCTATTTATTCATGCTATTTTGTATCTTTTAAATATTTGCAAATTTAATATTCTACAACTAAAGCAATTTTTTAATTACACCATATTATCTATGAGGCCTTGAAACATATTCTATTGTGTATAAATAGAGTCCATCTTAAAAAAACTTTGATCTTTTTAAAAAAAAAAAATTAAGTATAACAGGAATCACCCAACATTTTCTGAACAGAAAAAAACTGACATAACAATTCCCCAACAGATGACTTCTCTGACAAAAAACTGACTTAACAATTCCCCAACAGATGACTTCTCTGACAAAAAACTGACTTAACAAATCCCAAACAGATGACTTCTCTGACAAACAAGAGGCTCTCAAGAGCCTGAATCGCTCACCTGTATTTCAGAGGAGAAGATTTTTAAATGTTAGCAAACTTGATGAACAAATTGTGTAAAATTGTCTTTAAAGGGCAATAACTCCTTAAGGGGTCAATTGACAATTTTGGTCATATTAACCTTTTTGTAGATCTTACTTTGCTGAACATTATTGCTGCTTACAGTTTATATATATCTATAATAATATTCAAAATAATAACAAAAAACTGCAAAATTTTGTTAAAACTACCAATTCGGTGGCAGCAACCCAACAATGGGTTGTTCGATTCGTCTGATAATTTCAGGGCCGATAGATCTTGACCAATTAAACAATTTTTCCCCATGTCACATTTGCTCTAAAAGATTTAGTTTTTGAGATATAAGCCAAAAACTGCATTTGACCCTTATGTTCCATTTTTAGCCATGGCGGCCATGTTTGTCGATGGATACAAACTTCGGATACAATTTATAAACAAGACACCCTAAGGAACATTTAGTTAAAGTTTGAAGGTAATTGGCCCAGTAGTTTCAGAGGAGAAGATTTTTAAATGTTAGCAAACTTGATGAACAAATTGTGTAAAATTGTCTTTAAAGGGCAATAACTCCTTAAGGGGTCAATTGACAATTATGGTCGTATTAACTTTTTTGTAGATCTTACTTTGCTGAACATTATTGCTGCTTACAGTTTATATATATCTATTATAATATTCAAAATAATAACAAAAAACTGCAAAATTTTGTTAAAACTACCAATTCGGTGGCAGCAACCCAACAATGGGTTGTTCGATTCGTCTGAAAATTTCAGGGCCGATAGATCTTGACCAATTAAACAATTTTACCCCTGTCACATTTGCTCTAAAAGATTTAGTTTTTTGAGATATAAGCCAAAAACTGCATTTGACCCTTATGTTCTATTTTTAGCCATGGCGGCCATCTTTGTCGATGGATACAAACTTCGGATACAATTTATAAACAAGATACCCTAAGGAACATTTAGTTAAAGTTTGAAGGTAATTGGCCCAGTAGTTTCAGAGGAGAAGATTTTTAAATGTTAGCAAACTTGATGAACAAATTGTGTAAAATTGTCTTTAAAGGGCAATAACTCCTTAAGGGGTCAATTGACAATTATGGTCATATTAACTTTTTTGTAGATCTTACTTTGCTGAACATTATTGCTGCTTACAGTTTATATATATCTATAATAATATTCAAAATAATAACAAAAAACTGCAAAATTTTGTTAAAACTACCAATTCGGTGGCAGCAACCCAACAATGGGTTGTTCGATTCGTCTGAAAATTTCAGGGCCGATAGATCTTGACCAATTAAACAATTTTACCCCTGTCACATTTGCTCTAAAAGATTTAGTTTTTGAGATATACGCCAAAAACTGCATTTGACCCTTATGTTCTATTTTTAGCCATGGCGGCCATGTTTGTCAATGGATACAAACTTCGGATACACTTTATAAACAAGATACCCTAAGGAACATTTAGTTAAAGTTTGAAGGTAATTGGCCCAGTAGTTTCAGAGGAGAAGATTTTTAAATGTTAGCAAACTTGATGAACAAATTGTGTAAAATTGTCTTTAAAGGGCAATAACTCCTTAAGGGGTCAATTGACAATTATGGTCATATTAACTTTTTTGTAGACCTTACTTTGCTGAACATTATTGCTGCTTACAGTTTATATATATCTTTAATAATATTCAAAATAATAACAAAAAACTGCAAAATTTTGTTAAAACTACCAATTCGGTGGCAGCAACCCAACAATGGGTTGTTCGATTCGTCTGAAAATTTCAGAGCTGATAGATCTTGACCAATTGAACAACAGATTTGCTCTAAAAGCTTTAGTTTTTGAGATATAAGCCAAAAACTGCATTTGACCCCTATGTTCCATTTTTAGCCATGGCGGCCATGTTTGTCGATGGATCAAAACTTCGGATACAATTTATAAACTAGATACCCTAAGGAACATTTAGGTAAAGTTTGAAGGTATTTGGCCCAGTAGTTTCAGAGGAGAAGATTTTTGAAATAGTTTACGACGACAGACGACAACAGTCGACGACGACAGACAACGGACGACGACGGACGCCAAGTGATGGCATAAGCTAAAAACTGACTTAACAAATCCCAAACAGATGACTTCTCTGGCAAAAAACTGACTTAACAAATCCCAAACAGATGACTTCTCTGACAAAAAACTGACTTAATAAATCCCAAACAGATGACTTCTCTGACAAAAAACTGACTTAACAAATCCCAAACAGATGACTTCTCTGACAAAATAATAGACATACAAACAAAGACAAACAACAAGGTCAAGATAGCTTTATTTGGTACTACTACAAAATGAGTTGAGCTTAAACCAGTTGTACGCACACACAAACCTTAATATTTACTTTTCTTATTCTATCATGTATCCTAGCTGTGTTACAGTAAAGTACAAATTACTTGTTAGAAGTATAAATTTTAATATACACAAAGAAAATTAAGATGAAAATAGTAGGGCTATAAAAAAAATCCCACAGTCTTCGAATAACTTAAAGGTTACACACATTACCCCCAGATAAATTTGCTCTCTCCCCTGGCTCTCCATTGTCAATAAAAACTTATGTCCCTCCCTATTAGGGAGACAACTAAAAAATAGATCTCTAATTACAGGGTCAATTGCGAGAAATGGCAAATAGCATATTGGTATATCAAAAATAGGCTAACTTTCAAAAGTAACAAAACAGTTAACAACTTAGGAAAAGGAAAACAATAATATTTTGAAAATAAATGTAATACAAATTTAGGAAAAAAGATATTCAAGCGAACAAGAATAAAATATGTGGTTTTAAGTGAAATGGCATTTGGTTTTTGGTGAAGAGTTGACTCAATGGCATGCATAGCACATCCTCTTATTTGTTTATGTATATGGTGATATACATCTATTTCTTTTAAAATATGTACATGTAATAAATAGCTGAAAGAAGCAATATCTCAGAGTTGTTTGGAGTGTTTTCTGAAAAAGCTAGCTTTAATCTGTTTGCTAGCTCTAAAAAGAAGCCTGAAAGTTTCTAATATATGCCAAATAGTTGCAAAGACATTGAGACATGATAGATATAAACAATTTTACTATTTTTAAAATGAATTGGGAACATATTTGTTAAACCTACCATAAAGTTATGAAACACTGGTTGGTCATATTCCTTGAACAAGTAGGTAACCTCTTTGTCTATATAATATGGACAATTGTCATTTTTGTCTGTAACTTTTACAGTGACCTCTGCTGCTCCTGTCAATGGTGGATTTCCTTGATCTGTTGCCATGACAACAAATGTAATCAGACCACTGTCATCTACTAGCTCTCTGTCAAGGTGACCTTTTACTTTAACTTTACCAGTTTTAGAATCAACAGTAAAGTTTGTATTCCTGAAACAAAACAATTAACTTTGAATAAAGGTATTCATCCAACACATGAAAATGATCTGATAAGCAGAATACAAATTGGTCAGTACATAATGGGCCTCATATAGAGGAACAAAATCATGATCTGTAGTAAATAATCACTCGGTCATGATTTTGGACATGTTGCCATTTTAGTGAATGAACTGAGCTTATCAGTGCTGTTTTAAAGTGCAGAAGGTCATATGATATACTCTGAAACTTTTAAATGTTTGCAAACAACTGAATTTTCACATAAATCATTGTGTGAAATGGGGACTTTTCACTACTTTTTGGGATTTGATTTGCTAAAATGTGGATAATTTTAATAATCTCATGTGAACCCCAAAAATCAAGCAATATACATGGAAGACTCACTACTTCCAAACAAACAATCATATGGCCTTCAACAATGAGTAAAAACCATATTGCATAGCAAGCTACAAAAGGCCCTGACATGATAAATGTAAAACAATTCAAACGAGAAAACTTACAGCCTGAATTATGTAGAAAACAGTGAACAAAAATCAACTAGTGAGATTTATGAAGTTGCCTGAGTATATTAAGCTGCAGTGGTTATAAAGTGGCTCTTAACTTTATTAAAAGATATGCATGTTCACACCCTCCTCATTCTAAATCAGCTATCACATTTGGCAGGTGTGCTCGACTCCAATCTTAATTGACTAGGATTGCCAGTTTTACTACCAAAGGTCAGAGGTACTCTCCCCAGGCACTCAAGCTTCCTTCACCAATAAAAACTAGCCTACACGATATAGCCAATAGAGCTGAAAGTGGCGTTAAAAATCAACACTTAATCTATAAATTTACTGGAATTGTTATAATATGAAAAACTTATTTACCAAGGGCTTCCAATACTGTATGATATATTTTTGTTTCCTGGACTGTTATCTTTGTCTGTAGCCTACAAGTAAAAGTCATATCTGTTAGATATCGACCAAAATGCTGAGTTTTACTAAACTGTGAAAGCATAAAATGTAGATCATGGTGATCCAAATGTTCAAGAAGTGCACTTTAAATAAAACAGGAATGTTGAAGTTATATATGAAGGAAAGTTTAAATAAAGTTCCTAAATTTAAAAATTATTTATTAAAGCATGAAATAAAGGTCAATGTGACACAAATGTTGCAGATTAAAGTTTCCTATACAGAATACCAGCAGTTAAATACAGTTGAAATACCAAGAGGATTGTTTGAGATATGGAACCATGCTACATACCTGGACTGTAGTTACAGTGAAATTATCATCATTCTCAGCTACATCTCTGTAATAAACCTTTTGTTTAAACATGGGTGGGTGATTGTTGACATCTATTACATTGACTATTACTGTAGCTGTGCCTGTCTAATGTATAAGGCAAACAGGATAAAGAATTAAATAAAGGTGGATGGATGGTGACAAAAAAGTATATTTTTGAGTGTGTTAAATTTTTCTTTTTTCGCAGTAGAAATGTTATAACTAACATTTCCTGGTTCCTTTAAATGCATTGTACAATGCTATGAAATGTTAATAATGAACACAGTGAAGTATTTTAAAAGTACCAATCTAAGGCCTGAACATAACTAGACTAAAATAACACAATATTCAGTTTTCAAAATTTTCTGCTATTGTAGTTGTGACTGTCTGTTGTATGTAGTAAAAGAGGTTGGATATGATAGGTAAAAGCATAAATTTAATTGGATTATTGTAGAAATATTTTTCATTGAATGCTAGCTGTAACTGTCTGTTGTATAAAGTGAAACATGTTTAACATTATAGTCAAAGTAAACATTGACTGTTTACTTTAATCCTGTCTGTTGTATATAGAACAAGAATGTGTCCATAGTACACGGATGCCCCACTCGCCCTATCATTTTCTATGTTCAGTGGACCGTGAAATTGGGGTCAAAACTCTAATTTGACATTAAAATTAGAAAGATCATATCATAGGGAACATGTGTACTAAGTTTCAAGTTGATTGGAGTTCAACTTCATCAAAAACTACCTTGACCAAAAACTTTAACCTGAAGCGACCAAAAACTTTAACCTGAAGAGGGACAGACGGACGAACGGACGCAAAGACCGAAAAACATTATGCCCTTCTACTATCGTAGGTGGGGCATAAAAACAATATTTTTTGCAGTAAATCTTCATACTATACAAAAGGCTAGTGGTTGTTGCCAACTATTTTAATAACTGTCACTGTAGTTCAGTTACTGTATGTTTTTTAAAAACAAATTATTTGGAGCAGGACAGAGGATTGATTGTTGAAAATGTTTTTTTCCCTAAGATAACTCTTTAAAGATTTCAAATGTTACCATACAAATTAATTAGAAGGACAATTTTATTTTACAAATATTACATACTAGGATTTATCTATTTGGTCATGTTCAGAAATTTACATGTTTGTTTAAATCAGTGAGTTACGGATTAAATTTGTTTTCAAATTGTAAGATAAACACATGTATATATGTAGGACTCTGATGTGCAATGGGGACTTTGAAGTGCAATGGTCACCCTGAATGAGATGGTCTTCACTGATGTGCGATGGTTCTTTCGCTGATGTGCGATGTCTATAAGACACGTACTAGTTTTAAATCTACAGATGTCCGATTATTATGAGAGTTTAAATTTTTTATTAGTTAGAATATAAATACCAAACATTCAACATTTTCTCCAGTTGCAGTAAAAATCATCTACTGGATGATCTATCTCTTTTCTTGTTATTATTCACAGCAGCCATATAGATGTTTTGCTTATTTTGTTTCGTTCTGACTAATCAAGTAGTATAAGCATTTCAAACAACTTCCACGTTTTTCAGTCATTGTAATTAGAACTGGTTTTAAAGGAAAATAACCTTTGTATGTAGGTTCTATAGTGGTCAATTTCTGAACGATTCTATGAATGACTGCTTTTTGGTTTGGTCTAAGCTATTTTCTAAGTACACTGCAACATTACAGTAAGAACGAGAAAGGCAAAGACTATATACCTTGACTATTTCAAATTAAACTGTTTTACTTAAAAAAAAATAACTAAAAAGCTACTTCTGACAAACAAATTGACTTCTACATGGACATGTGAATATGAAAAATATAGATTAAGTAGTCCATCACACTTCAGCATTACCAACATCCCATTTCGGCGTAGGAAACAACAACATAGCGTGACAATGCCACCATCGCACTTCAGCGTGATCAAAAACACACTTCAGCATCAAACCATTGCACATCAGCATAACCATTGCAGTTCAGAGTAACATCGCAGTTCAGAGTCCTATACCTTTATATAAATAACATTAACAGAGAAATGAATAAATAATAGTGTTACAACAGATCCTTATATTCTATACACTTACTTTGTTTGAATCTTTTGCCTGTACTGTAAATGTTATTTTGGTCTTATCTATAAGTGACGATTTTAAGGTTAAAAGTCCAGTGTCAGATTCTAGGGAAAACTCTGAAATAAAATAATTAAATTGTCAGTATACTTATGTGCTATTCATTTATATAGATTCAACCACTGTATCCATTTTGATACATATAGATTCTTTCATTCATACCAGTGGATCATTAGATTTATTCAAACAAGATACCGTATAGCGGGTTATTTACGCGGGTGTAAAATTTCGCGATTTAAGGACAACAAAGTATACGAAAAAAATTTCCGGTTTTTATTTTGGTGGATTCTTAAGTCCTAATTAAATATTTTAGCGGATACTGCAGATAAAAAGTTGTAACAATTGAGAAGCAAGTGTCTATTGTTATGATTAATTAATTTTTTAACCTGAATGACGTCTTATTTATTGATTATATTCTGATACAGGTAATCAAAAGAATACCGGTAACTTAGATATTTGTCACAGGTATACAAACTTCTTGTAAATTTTACGGTTGATAAGTTACAAAATTGACCGAACCTTTGATGTACTTATTAATTAGGTTATAAAAGTGACTTACACCTCTTATGTAATTTGACACTAATTAATAAGGGTAATTACCTGATAGAGAACCTTACACTCTAAATCTATTTGACATGTATTGATAGGGGTATACACACCTAACAGCCATTTTATAAAATACATGAATGTACAATGCTCTTTGGCATTAATGTTGTTAAAACTATCCTATAACATTATTGACCTGCCTACCAGAAAAAAAAATATCGTTTACAAAACGCTTTAGCTATTATCAAGTGTCGAACGTATGCATAAATTTTCGCTGAATTTATTTTCGCGATTTTCATTTATCCGCCAAAATAAACGAAAATAAACACCCCACGAAAATAACCCGCTATATGGTAGTTAAATTATTGAATTTTAAAGTCAGAGCCTCAGCTAGGACTTTCAAATTCAATCATTTAACTATCGAGATTAGATAAATCCGATAATACATGAGTAACTATGTAAGAATCTGTTTTTTTGATGATTATCAAATAAATTTTCATTTTTGATAAATGAAAATCCCCTACAAGTTCCTTCCACATTCCTGATTTCTACGTCATACACTGATGAAACAGATGCGCAAAAACTTCATTTATGCATCGCTGGATCAAGTGGAAGACAGCATTAACTAGAGACCACTTTTAATCAAAAACATTGCATTCAATGAAATAAATATTCACATGAAATAGTAAACAACTTGAACATCAATTTCTAAAGTTCAAACCATTTCCATGTAGTAAAAGTTGTCAATTTCTCTAACACCTGTTGACACATTTCAATTCACCCAGAGACAGCTGATAAAGTTTATGACCTTTTAACTTAGCCTATCATCAACTGAGATCATCTGCAACCACACATTAATTAAATCATTTTTTAAAATTGGTATAGAAAGGGTTAAATTGCTTAAGAATTAGAGAAAGTATTTTTCAAGTCAGATTAGTTTATTTTTAACATGAACCACACACTGATTATAAAAAAATAATCCACCAGTGAGGTAATAAATCAGATAAGAGTTAGAGAAAGAAATATATATATATAAATATCTTTATATAGTCTTAAGATCATAACTGGTAATATTAAGTTATATGGCACGTATATTTTGTGATATTTTTTTGGATCGTTTACTAGAGAGTTGATTCTAAGGTCAGTCTGATAATACTGTTAATTGCAAGACTTTATTTGGATTTTCAGGTATGTATGATTCTAGCACTTGTTTATCACCTGACACCAATGGGATATTTCCCTGTAGCACATAGGAGGAACCCAGAACACTGTAGGGGGGTCTCGGTGGCCAAGTGGTCTATGTAGTCCAATAACTGTATCACTAGCCAGTAAACACTGAGGTTGTGAGTTCAAATCCCGCACGGGGCAGGTGCACTCGACTCCAATCTTAATTGACTAGGATTGTCAGTTTTCCTACCGAAGTTGGTGGTTCTCTCTGGTCACTCCGGTTTCCTCCACCAATAAAAACTGACCGCCACGAAATAGCACAATAGTGTTGACAGTGGCGTTAAACACCAATCAATTAATCAATCAATCAGAACACTGACTGTACTCTGTAGTACAGTGGTACTATACTGTACTATGATGTTCTATAATGAACTATACTGTACTAAACTGTACACTGGCAGTATAACTGTACTTTACAGTACAGTGGTGAATGAGTAATAGCTCCTACCATCCTGATATGTCTTAATCATTTGTTGGAGTTAACAATCAAAATGGTGCAAGTGAACAGTAAATGGGTGTATGAGAGTATTGTGGATTCATTTATTTTCGTGGATACCAATTTTCATGGATTGAAGAAAAATTGTATTTTGGTGGATATTTGATTGCATGGTTTTGCTAAAGTTTATATACAAGCCTTAGAAAATTTATACTTTGTTGAACATTTAAATTTGTGGTTTCTGTATACCCAAGAAATCAATGAAAATTGGTTATCACACGAATAATAATGAATCTACAGTATTTATAATCAGATTATCAATGAATATTAAAGAGTATCATCAACTATATGTGAAGTCTGTTAAATGTCAATCATACCCTATTTTCTATTATTATTTTTGCAAAGAATTCCGCTCAAGCCGGTGCTAGGGGCCGTCTTAAACTTGCAGTGAGGTGAGAGTTTTTTTTTTGTTCTGTGTCACTGTTCCTTTGAGATGAAGAACAGCAATAAAAGCGCTGTTCCTTTGCTTTTTGTGCGTTTTTTTGCTGTGCATGAACTGATTTTGTGTCATGGATGGATACCCTATATCCTTTGTTTTTCTACTATACCAGAAATAGCACTGGCTATGGAGTATAAAAGATGATATAGTCTGTACAATTACCATCATAGTATGCTATACCTGGAGTATTACTAGCTATGGAGTATTTAAGATCATCTCCATCTTTATCTGAAGCCTGTATAATTCCCACCATTGTCAACACTGGGGCATCCTCCATTACTTTAAATGTGTAGGTTTTGTTACTAAAGGAAGGAGAGTTGTCATTTTTGTTGTGGACATCAACTTCAACTACTGCTGTCCTACCATAAAAAAAAAAATCAATGTTAATTATTAGACCATCTTTCTTAAACATATTGCTTGCACTGCTGTAGTTACTGGTTGGAAACTTTTTGAAGATTTTGATTATGAATGTCAAGTATGCTGTATAAAGCTTTTCTAAATTTGTTATTCATCTCTAATGAATACAGCTTTTACCCTAGGTCTACTGTTTGGAAATAAAATTTCATAACTCAAAAAGTGTATTTTTGTGGTAAGGACTTTCTAACAAAGCTCAATAACAGGTGAATTACCTTGTAAATTTAAAGCTTCTTACAAACTCAATAAGAATAGTATGTCATATCTAATTTATAGTTTCCTAATAAAACTCAATTAATAAGTGTATTATACTTTAATTTATAGATTACTATGTTAATTATAGACTTCCTAACAAAACTCAGGAAGAAGTATAATTGTTAATTTAGGATTTTCTAACAAAACTTTTCATGAAGATCATTACCCTGTTAACTTAGGACTTCCATTGTCTGTAGCAAGGACTTGTAACATATAACTATGTACATCGTTGTCATAATCCAATCCTGTGGTAGCACTCACAGTTATTTCTCCTGTTAACTGGTTTATTATGAACATCTGCAAATAAATGTAAAATACAAGTTGATTACCACAATAAGTTACAAGTTAATTTCTAAATACTCAGTAATAAAACTTGAGAAGGGGATTTCAAAGTTGAAATGACATGTAATAAGTCTTTGTGATATCGTGTATCCATATTTTATCTTAAACAACAGTAACATTCTGTATTATTCAGGTTGAATAATAATAACTATAATCCATACCATACCGTATAATAATAACTATAATCCATACCATACCATATAATAATAACTGTAATCCATACCATACCGTATAATAATAACTATAATCCATACCATACCATATAATAATAACTGTAATCCATACCATACCATATAATAATAACTATAATCCATACCATACCACATAATAATAACTATAATCCATACCATACCATATAATAATAACTATAATCCATACCATACCATAAATTACTTAACTTACTGTGTTATTCAGACTATATGAGAACTTATCCTTATCTCCGTCCGTAGCCTTTACTGTACATCCATTTTTGCTGTTCCGACTGTTTTCATCAAATTTACATACATATACATCTGTAAAATTAGAAATTAACTTAGCAAAATTCTTAGCAGATAGGAGCAGACAAAACATGTACAGTCAGGGGAATTATTAGACAAAAATTGTCATTGATAAGTTGGTGTATGGGATCCAGCATCCATATTATTCATCACTTACAACAAAAAGGATTTTTTTTAATATATTTGTTATTTCTAGTTTTCCCACTTTGCTATATGTATAAGACTGGCCTATGAAAATATCTGTTTTTCTTACCATGATTGAACTTTGGAGTATTATCGTTAACATTCTGCACATTGACAGTAACTTGTCCTGTGGTATTTCTAGAGGTTCCATTATATAACAGATGGCCATCAGTAGCATGTATCTGTAGATGAAATTCGAAACATATATCACTTACAGTACATTAATTTACAGAAGAAAAACTTGGTGTTTACATGATTCAAAAGAATGCACTAAATTAATTCGACTCAAAATTGCAAAAATAAAATATGCAACTATTTTATAAGTAAATGATATGGAATGATGGAACTGCAAAAAAAAATAAAAATCATACTTTCCACTTTTTACTGCACAGTCTTTTCTAAAATACATGATGAAATCTGAAATTATATTGTAGCTTACATGTATAAATATAATGTTTAAAAGAATATCAAGACTTTACTTCTCTTAAAAACAAATATGTAATATACCGTTAAAACAAATTTTGTCTGATTTTCAAAATCCAGTGGTTTGACTAGATATATCTCTGCAGTTTTACTGTCCATATAGAAATGACCCAAAGGATCTCCATTCCCTATCCAGTAGGATATGGTGTTGTACTTGGGACTTGTATCACGATCTGTGGCATTTATCCTATTAAAAATATAGTCAGTTCCCTTAAAATAATCTCATGCAATTCTTGATCACTTATTGAATTAAATTTACATTCATTAAAAAATTTACAGAAATGTACTGTAAAGATCAACTAGTATTAACTCAAAATTGATATTATACTAATATCTTTCTTGCATTGTTATATTGAAAATATGAACGGTCTTGATGGAGCTAAATTTACAATGTTTTTTTTTCACTCAAAATCTTTCAAACACAGTACATGTATCATCAAATCAATTTAGTATGATGATTTAGAAGTTATTGCTGTGTTGGTGATCTTTCCTATTCTATATAACAGAGGAAAAGAAGAAATATGGTGCATAGTTTACCTTACTCCATCTAGTTTACTTCCAACAGTAAAACTTTCCTTTACATTCAGATTGTAGTTTTTTGGGGTGAATTGTGGAGGATATCTGTTTACGTCCTAAAATGTACAAAAAATATAATTATTTAAGACTGCAGACTGAAAATATATTTCGAACAACACATTCTTAAACTTCAGTGTAATTTAAAAGCTTGTTAACTTTCAATGTTCTTATAAAACAAACATATCTAACATTATAAGTATGACAACAATACTAATTTTAACATTTGAGTAGTACATATCTATGAGAGATTTTTCCTGTCCAGGTTAAAAAATCAAATACTGATTTAGTACTTTTTCATACATCTTTTACATAACTATTTTAATTTTCCACTTTGCAATTATAATTCACAATCATGCATAACATTTTTATCATTATTTCCTCCACAGGAAAACCTTGTCTGTCCTATGTACATGAAACTTCAATGTGACAATTTTGATTTATTTAGTTAAACATATATTTTGTTATTAATAGATTACCTTGAACAATAATATACCTGTCTAACCTATGTTTATACAATGAATCCTGAGAAAAATAAATACCATTCTATAAAGAAGCCATACTTTACCATATTCCAGCCAACAAACACAGAGAAATCATGTGTAGTACAGACCCACCATTAATTACTAAATAGTTTGATTCATTATTGTCTGCTTAACATCCAAGTGGCAAATTTTTCATATATGTTCAGTACATCATTAATGAAAAATCTACCTAGAAACAAACCTAGATCAGTACTTCGTGTCTTTTGTCTCAGTGTAAGTTGTTTTCTGTGCTTTGTGGTGGAAAGGAGTCTCATTGGCAATCACACTACATCTCCTTATTTTTTATATTTTCTAGAATAAACTAGACATACTGGGAACATGCCTACAATTTAACCAGAAATCCTTCTTCAGTGAACATTGAATTAACCAGACAACTTTTTATATGAACTTTGAGTGAACTAGATAGCTGTCAGGAACATACTGAGTAAAACACATATTTATCGACATCAGATGAAGATCGTAACACTTGTCCATTCAAACCCTGAGTAAACAAAATATCTGTCTACATTGAGTTCTGAGATAATTTTCTATAAACTTAACCTGAAAATACTAGATAGACAGGATACCTATTCCTAACAAAACTAAAATAAAGTGGAAACAGGTCTACTCCGAACAAAAATCAAACCAGATACCTATCTGTAATTAACACCAAGTAAACCTTGAGTAAACCAGTTATCTGTATATAACAAGCCCCTCAGTAAACTAGACACAGTAAACTAGACACATGTCTACAAAATATCTAGAGGTAACCAGTTTCTTATCTACACTCACTACACTGAACATTGTGAAAACCAGATACCTGGCTAAGCCACTCATTATATATCTATTTAAATGCATCTGAAATGAACATACAATTGGTACATGTAATCAGTTTAAATTGGTTTGGTTTATTAAGGTTTTACTATAAATAACTATGTGTTTAGCATGAAATGAGAATACATAGAATTTAATTCTGCTAAAAAATACCTGTACATTAATAACAACAGTCTGAGTGGCTCTGATATTTTTTAAACATGTAGGATTGTTTGACACAGTAATTGTCAGTTTGATCTGACCATTGATTGTATGTTCCATTGCTAAGGCTTCTGTTGCAGACAAATTGCCTGAATTTTGGTCGATAGTAAATCCAGTATGACTACCAATAAATGAGTAGGACATTTTTCTATTCACATCAGTCTTGTCCATGTCTTCCACCTGAAGAGGAAATTGTAAATGGCTTTGTCAGACCATTATTAAATTTTTTAAAAAATGTATGAATAAAATAGATATCATTTAAAACAAATCCTAATGTTTGTTATAGAGAACAATAGTTAAAAAGATATAAGTGATTCCTTATCAATAGTTTAATCATGAAGTTACTACCAGTAACTAAAATGGGATAGAAAACTGATTGAAAGACACTGCCTGTAATTGCAGTACAGGAAATCTGGTAAACTTTAAACTTCATCAGAAAATTGCCAACAGTTACCTGAATATGATGAAAGTTTGAAGGAATTTCAAGTTCTTTAAACAAGTATGTAGACCTTAGATCTTGTGTGTTAATGTAGGGACAATTATCATTGATGTCTGTGACCTCTACAGTGACCTCTGTTGTTCCTGTTAATGATGGCAGACCAAGGTCAGTTGCTATGACAACAAACTTTATGTGTCCTTCTGTGTCATCTATTGATTCTCTGTCTAATGCCCCAATAACTGTAATTTTACCTCCATTACCAATTGAAAAATTGGCTTTCCTGATGATGAAGAGTTAAAAACACATATTATATCAATGAAGTTTTACTGTTATTTTGTTCTTTGATTTTTTTTCCTTCATTGACTGTGTAAAAACTATTTTGCTATTTAGTGGTTTACATATTTTGAAGGTCAAACAATCATGTTACATACCTATAACAATGAAAATTTTTTAACCATATATTATTTAATAAGTCTTATTAAATATGTGAGCAATTCTATTATTACTGTTCATACGACAAGGTTATTTGTAAGCTGGTTCTCATACTTTTTGGAAAAAAATTCGTAAGGGTTCCGCGGAACCCAGTGTCTCGCTTACTTTTTCGGTTAATCTAATAAATGTTTAAAAACTTTAACTGCAGACTGAATGTAATGTTAACTGGAAAAAAACAAAATTTCCTTCTAGATACTAGCATTTGATCCTAAACAAGCTTCTGTCCAAGTTTGGTACAAATCCAAAATAGTATAAGAAAGTTATTAAAATTTTAAAAACTTTAACCACAGAGTGAATATGTTGTTTCCTGGCAGAAAATCTAAGTCCATTTAAAAGTAAAATACGGAAAAAATGGATTTTTTTTTTACAAAATTTTCTTCTAGATACTAGCTTTTGATCATAAACAAGCTTCTGTCCAAGTTTGGTACAAATCCAAAATAGTATAAGAAAGTTATTAAAATTTTAAAAACTTTAACCACAGAGTGAATGTGTTGTTTCCTGGCAGAAAATCTAAGTCCATTTAAAAGTAAAATAAGGAAAAAATGGATTTATTTCTTTACAAAATTTACTTCTAGATACTATCTTATGATCATAAACAAGCTTCTGTTTGGTACAAACCCAGGATAGTTTAAGAAAGTTATTAAAATTTCCTGGCAGAAAAACTAAGTCCATTTATAAGTAAAATACGGAAAAAATGGAATTTTATTTTTACAAAATTTACTTCTGGATACTATCTTATGATCATAAACAAGCTTCTGTGCAAGTTTGGTAGAAATCCAGGATAGTTTAAGAAAGTTATTAAAATTTCAAAAACCTTAACCACAGAGTGAATATTTGTGGACGCCGCCGCCGACGGAATGTAGGATCGCTATGTCTCCCATTTTCGACTAAAGTCGAAGGCTCGACAAAAAGACTGGTGGCATCAATAATTCCTTACATCACAATTTATAATTACAGAAACAATATTAGCAAATGTGTATGAACTGTTGATTTTACATGCATACCCTTTTCCTTTAATATAACCTAATATATGAATGAATAAAGTAGAGTTAAGCAGCATTTTTTCTAAATATAATATTTTTTATGCTCATTTAAAGCGAGGCATTTGTCTAATAGTTTGATATTTATTGTAAATGTTAAATATTTGTATTCTTTATTGTTTATTTGTGGTTTTTTTAGTAGCAATTCATTTGTTTGGATTTTATACCAATAAAATATCTTATCTTATCTTATCTTATCTTATCTTATCTTATCAATATATAGTCGTCACATGCCAGCCTTGTAACTATAAAGCTTACAGACAATCTTATGACAAAAAAGCAATGTTTGCCTATTTTGTGACCTATTTCATGACTGTTAATGCTGATCCAAGAACCAGTAAATCTATTTCAGATGGCCTATTTTACTGTTTGCAAAAAATGATAATACTGTATTCTAAAGATTCAGCTAAATATGACAAACTGAATCCAAGTAAAAAAATAAAATATAATGAAATTAACTTACCATGGTAGTTCTATACTGTAAGTTATCTTACTATTGTTACCTTTACCATCAATATCTGTAGCCTGGAATAAAAAAAAAATTGACGCTCAAAAATAGTAAGAAATTATTGAAGATATAAACTTGGTGTTTTAACAGTCAAGAATGAATATGATATTCTAAAACAATACTTTTATCTGTCTTCAATTGTCTTTAATATTGTTTAATGATTCAATACAATTATTTTCACTCGTATGAAAATTTGTCTGCCATTACTTAAAATCACACAAGTTCCCGCAAAATGTTGCAAAACAATTTAAAAGTTTGACATCTTAATAAAAAAGTGATTGGTGCTTCACATCAGAAGGCTATTCAGAGACAGATCTAGGGTCATTCCGAGAAAAAAATTCAGCTAAATACCAAAAGTGTAAATATGTCTATAGCTTGCCTGAATCATTTTTAAGTATCATTCAAAAACCTTAAAAGTAGCAATATTTCATATAAAAATGTGCCATAACTCTTGAAAGGTGATTGTGCAAATCTGCAAAATCAAACTCAATCTGAATTTGATAATGTAAGAAATTGTGTAAAAAATTTAAGATATGGTCAAGCAAGCCTTCAATTTAAAGCTCAACATTTTTCAAGTTATTTAGGCCACAATTGAAAACTGAACTGAACTTATTTACATGATATATGACAATGCATAAAAATTGCAAAAATAATGTTCTTGTAATGTATACAGTTTGTTACTTAAGCAATGAACATGAGCAAGGCTCAAGCACCTATTGCAGCAGTGACATACTAAAGAAATAGGTACAGGTAGATGTGACAAACTACCTAGACCACTTGATCACTTGACCAACAAGGCTCAACCGTGTACTGTAGCAGTGATCAACACTGAAGTTATCAATACAAGAAGATGTGACTAATTACCTGAACTACTTCACAGCCGAGGTATCATAATATCTGAAATTTCAACCTGAGCAATTTTGACCCAACAGTATTTTGATAGCCAATTTAAGTTTACTAATTTTTAGAAAATAATATTACTTTCTTTGGCGTTTATCAGAAATAAATATGCTCATCTTAAGTAAAAATGTAAATAAAAAAATGTTAAATCATTTTCTATCTATAATAAAGACCTTATAGGCAGTAGTTGGTTTCAAAACAGAAGAATCATCTATCATTTTTTAAGAAACAATACATACTTTAGTTTATACTTAAAAATACAAATTTATTAGCTCAACAAAACTACTAATTAATATACAGAAGACACACTAAGTTTTGAACAAGAGTGCACACGCTGAAATGTCTCGCCTTCTTTACTAACCATTGATATTATGTTGATAGTCCTAAATATAAAGCTTTACTACAACTATCACATAAACTTAACATGATCCAAGAAAATGAGGTCAAGGTCATATAAACCAAACAAGAAATACATGTACACCTTACAATCATTCAATACACTAAATATAGTTGACCCATTGCTTAAAGTTTCTAAGAAACAGACTTAACTAAGAAAACTAAACATTGACCAATGAACCATGAAAATAAGGTCAAGGTCAGATGAACCATGCCAGGCAGACATGTACAGCTTACAATCCTTCCATACAACAAATATAGTTGACCTATTGCTTATAGTTTAAGAAAAACAGACCAAAACATAACAAGAGTGCACACGCTGAAATGTCTCGCCTTCTTTACTAACCATTGATATTATGTTGATAGTCCTAAATGAAAGCTTTACTACAACTAATACATAAACTTAACATGATCCAAGAAAATGAAGTCAAGGTCATATAAACCAAATGATAAATACATGTACACCTTACAATCATTCAATACACTAAATATAGTTGACCTTTTGCTTATAGTTTCTAAGAAACAGACTTAACCAAGAAAACTAAACATTGACCAATGAATCATGAAAATGAGGTCAAGGTCAGATGAACCATGCCAGGCAGACATGAACAGCTTACAATCCTTCCATACAACAAACATAGCTGACCTATTGCTTATAGTTTAAGAAAAACAGACTGAAACACATAAACTTAACACTGAGCAATGAACCGTGAAAATGAGGTCAAGGTCAAATAAAACCTGTGAGACTGACATGTACATCATAGAATATTTCCATACACCAAATATAGTTGACTTATTGCATATAGTATAAGAAAAAAGACCAAAACTCAAAAACTTAACTTTGACCACTGAACCATGAAAATGAGGTCAAAGTCAGATGACACCTGCCAGTTGGACATGTACACCTTACAATCATTCCATACACCAAATATAGTAGACCTATTGCATAAAGTATAAGAAAAACGGACCAAAACACAAAAACTTAACTATTACCACTGAACCATGAAAATGAGGTCAAGGTCAGATGACACCTGCCAGTTGGACATGTACACCTTACAATCCTTCCATACACCAAATATACTAGACCTATTGCTTATAGTATCTGAGATATGGACTTGACCACCAAAACTTAACCTTGTTCACTGATCCATGAAATGAGGTCGAGGTCAAGTGAAAACTGTCTGACAGGCATGAGGACCTTGATAGGTACGCACATACAAAATATAGTTATCCTATTACTCATAATAAGAGAGAAATTAACATTACAAAAAATCACAACTTTTTTTCAAGTAGTCACTGAACCATAAAAATGAGGTCAAGGACAATGGACATGTGACAGACGGAAACTTTGTAACATAAGGCATCTATATACAAAGTATGAAGCATCCAGGTCTTTCACCTTCTAAAATATAAAGCTTTTAAGAAGTAAGCTAACACTGCCGCCGGATCACTATCCCTATGTCGAGCTTTCTGCGACAATAGTCGCAGGCTCGACAAAAACTTAACACTGAGCAATGAACCGTGAAAATGAGGTCAAGGTCAAATAAAACCTGAGAGACTGACATGTACATCATAAAATATTTCCATACACCAAATATAGTTGACCTATTGCATATAGTACTAGAAAAAAAGACCAAAACTCCAAAACCTAACTTTGACCATTGAACCATGAAAATGAGGTCAAGGTCAGATGACACCTGCCAGTTGGACATGTACACCTTACAATCTTTCCATACACCAAATATAGTAGACCTATTGCTTATAGTATCTGAGATATGGACTTAACCACCAAAACTTAACCTTGTTCACTGATCCATGAAATGAGGTTGAGGTCAAGTGAAAACTGTCTGACGGGCATGAGGACCTTGCAAGGTACGCACATACTAAATATAGTTATCCTTTAACTTATAATAAGAGAGAAATTAACATTTCAAAAAATCTTATCTTTTTTTTTTCAAGTAGTCACTGAACCATGAAAATGAGGTAAAGGACAATGGACATGTGACAGTGGATACTCCGTAACATAAGGCATCTATATACAAAGTATGAAGCATCCAGGTCTTCTAGCTTCTCAAATATAAAGCTTTTAAGAAGTTAGTTAATGCCGCTGCAGGATCACTATCCCTATGTCAAGCTTTCTGCGAAAAAAGTTGCAGGCTCAACAATAAATACTTACATGCACTGTTCCAAAACTTTTATGTGGATCTTCTTCTTTGACATTGGTAAATATGTATGATGGATTTTGGAATTTTGGAGCATTATCATTGATGTCTAACACTGTAACATTGAATGTTGTCTGAGTAGTCTGAAATAATATAAATCTATATTTCATAACTAGTGCTTATACAACAAATTGCAAAACTAAACACATAAATACTTGGTATTGTTAGGTACACAATCCTATATTGAATGTATTTCATTTTCAGGAAGATGATTAAAGGTTTCATCATTTCTATAGTCATGCACTCTCAACAATATGATAATACTGTAAATTCAGAAATTATTGCGTGCATTTATTATTGCGATTTTGTCATTTTAGACTAAAATGCGATTTTAATTTTTGCGATATTGAGAAAAATCGTGTTTAACTCGTATGAAAAAATTTCAAAGTGCGAGTTAAAATTATTGCGATTATAACCCTGCCGCATTTTTCGCAATAATAAAAACATCGCAATAATTTCTGAATTTACAGTATTACTATGGTGACAATATTTATGCAATATCAAATAAATGATTGATTGATTGTTGGTTGCTAAACGTCCAGTGTCAAATAAATGAAAATAATAAATTAAGACTAAAATGGCCAGGTTACAATACTAAGGGTAATATTAAATACAGTCTACTCCTGACTCCAAAAATTTCTGTGATATGGATGCAGAAAATTTACTTTGACTTTGTTTCAGTCACATTTCTATTAGTTGAGCAACTCTAACTAAACATACAGTCTGAAAGTATAATTAAAAAGAATTTGTTCGTTCAGCAGAAACATTTCACACCTGTCAAAAATCCTCATGGGGGTAAGTAACCTCAAAATGCTAATTGACAATACACCAACACCTTAATCCATGGTCAATAATTTTGTTTATATTACACTTTATTAGATGGTTAGAAACGGTGCATTACATTTGCGCACATTACCAATTGCATTTGTGCGCAAAAATGATTACGTTTGCGTGCAGCTTTTTTATTACATTTGCGCACATTATTTACAGGTAAACTCTGGTAAACAGAGGTAGATCATATTATTTATTTAACTATTATTTTCGAGTATGATAAGTCTGTTTTATTATGCACAAGCACTTAGTCCTAGAAATATATAGATAAAAAAATGTTCAATGAATGCCTGCAAATGTAATCAAAAGCAGCACGCAAACGTAAAAATATTTAATCCCCAAATGCGCACAAATGTAATGTGCCCGTTAGAAATGTTAATTTTTTACTTATTGCACACTCAATTGAATATAAACAGCTTTACTTCTCAGTTATTGTTCAAATCATCATGACATGAGAGTTGATAACATTTCATTTGCATAATTTTCTGCTTGGGTGGGTATAAACCAGAGTGTTCAAACATTGTATATTCATTTCAAAAGTGGAATTTGTTTTTTTTAAATACAGTATTTGAACAACTTCAGAAAACAAAACCACTGTCTACAATGAGAACCTAATTTGGATTGATGTCCACTGGTAAGATTAAGATCAACCAGGTATGCAAAACTGGTTTTATCTCATGTTAATTTGAATTGTCCCGCACTACAGTTGAACTTAGGTGACTCAAAATTTTATCGGTGCCTGTCATTTTTTAAATGACCAGATTTGTCTGTAAATGGTAATGACAATTGTATGTTATATGCTTAATGAGAGCATCTTTCTGAATGCAAGAGTAGCAGTAAATTATTAACTAGTAAAATTTAGAACATGGACAAGATTAAAAAGGAAAATTTATCTGTGTACATTATTTACTGACAATACTTTAAATACTAGTAAATTTTGTAACCATGGACTTTTTATACTAGCAATTTGTGTCTGCCCAGGTACGTTTTACCAGGACTGATTTAACTCTTACACTAGCAGGGAAAGTTTATATCTTCT